AGAAGAGAAAAAACTATTTGATAGATAAAACAGCGAAAAAAGTGTCACTGGCTTCTATCTGTATGACGCACACCACTAGAACGTTAATCCAACCGTCGGGTACATGGTCCGTACTTGGCAAGACCGAGTGAAGCCCTTGCCAGTATCTCTGCACCCGCAGAGATACGACTTCTAAAATACAAATTATGCCTGCAATCTGCTCTAATTACGAAGGTTGGCTAGTCCTTTCGTTACCGTGCCGCATACGATGTATAACTAAACTGATCGCGATAGCCGTTGTGATCGTTATGCAAAAAATCATATCCCAATCCTATTACGTGTTTGTAAGATCGGTTGGATAAAGCCGCGAATTGTGCACCAGACAATGCTGACCCGGCAGAACTGTGGCCAACATTAGTACGCGTAATAATAAAAAAAGAAAAATATTTAAAAAACAGAAAAAACATTATCAAAATTATTAAAACTAATTCATTATTGCATCATCTTAAAAAAACACGAAAATACACGACGTTAAAAATATAAAATATAAAAACTATACTAATACTACAAACAATTACATTATACAAACTTATTACAGAACCATCCAGCTGGTCAGATACAATTAGCATGTCTATGATGTAATTCTTTTTAACTAATAAAAATAATAATCATAATAAAGTAGACAGATCCAATGCGGCACTGTTTGCCTAGCATATACATTTTTTTGTAAACTCTACTTTTAAACTCTAATTGCGTTTTCTACGCAATTTTTAGGTACGCTACGGTTTTTGTCTCTTGGTAGCGCGCGTTTACTTAAAAATTCACTTTCTTTTGAATCATAGACATGCTAATACTATTCCCTCCGCGAAAAATCATAAAAACGAATGAAAAGGTAAGCAACCGAACATACTCTGTTTTAAACATATTTGCTATCTCATTAGTCAATTTTCAACGATACAAAACTTAAAAAACTGTTATTAAAAACTAATAAAAAAACGTATGCCAATGTTTGATTAAAACACCCATTTTGAATTATATAAAACAAAACTAATCCTAATTATCCTAAACCTATCAAAATCCTAACTAAAATGTTACTAACTTATTAAGAAAGTACAAACTAAAAAATACTAAAAAGTATCAATCTTACAGGCATAATAAATTATGTATTATTCTGACTATCCTATACCTATCATGATCTAATCTAAGTAATTATGTCCCATTCGCAAATCATCTCGAAAAAATTATGTAATTACAGGGTTCATCAAACATCGAAGCGGGTCCAAGGGCTCGCGGCCCGGAACCGACCGACCTCCTCAGAGGATGTTACAATTCTTATGATTCTTTTTCAACCCTGAACTTGCACATTATATTGCAGGGACCCTAGTAGAAGCAGGTGGGGGAGTCAATCTGCACTGAGGGTTGTGCAAACCTTTGACGACAATGCCAATTGTCGTTACAATATTGCCTTCAGTAAATATAGTGTCAAAATTAATATTCATGTCATTTTTGATGACAATCCACATAGCGTTCACTGTTCTCATTTCTAATGAACCAACATTTGACTTATATTTTCTATAACATTCTATTTTGTAGAGTAAAACACTGAAGACTTATTAATATGTATATATTCAATGATGTTTCTTCTTCGGCTGATTGTAATGAAAGCGGAGGTATTTTATAAAGTCTATACATAAGTTGCGACAGGTTATGTCAAACGCGAACATTGTGATTGCCTGACAAGTTATCAACATATATGACGCTGACGCGCGGTTTTTTTAAAAGTGTAAGAATGAATATTTTGTCCATGTTCCCCTGAGATGCAAGCATCACGTATTATTATGAATGAAGTAACAAATTATTCTTACAACAATCAATTGTCTC